GTGAACAATTATTTCCTTACTACCCATATCCAAAAGAAATACCCATATTGGGTAATAATTAATAAAAAATATTAACACTTTTAAAGGATGATCATTTTCTTTACCACATTATAATGTAATTAACTTAATTAGAAATATTTGTAATGTAGCGTAGTTGTGAGTGAAAAATCATCAAACAGGAGGTAATAGAATGAAGGAGCGGGGGGATTGGAAAGGGTGGGGTGGAGGGGGGCAGGGTTGGGTGCCGCGGGCGACAGACGAGCGAGGGGCGGTGAGCGATGGCGCGGCCCGTGGGAACGGGAAGCGGGCCACCGCCCCCGCAGGCGACGGCAGCGCCCACTCGCTCTGCGCGATGCCTCCCGCCGCCGGTGTGTGGCGCCACAAGCGCTGCTTACGCGCAATTACAAGTGACGGGATGCAAATGCACTCAGTTCGCTGCGAAGCTACAAATGTCGCCTGGAGGAGCGTGGTGGTGAGCGAGGTTTCAAGTACAGAGGCCCAGTCTGATGAAAATAAGGTTAATAAAAAAGAGAGCGTGGAGTTGATACAACGGTATCTCTGGTCTGTCTGCCCCGTTATCAACGCTAGAGGATCCTTTTATAGAAAATAGGCAAATTTATGTAGCCTTTACGCCACCCTCGACTGAACTCTACATGGCTTGGACGCAATAAACGAACATTACTGTCCCAGTACCTTTGCCCTACAGAGGTCACTTTCTCATCAGTTCCTATCACTTCTCGTTTCCACAAACTGTCTCCTCGTTAGCGATTTGAAACCCTCTCGTAAAAATGCTCAAGATAGAGATAATCCTTCACAGCGCCTAGTCCGGACGCCACCCCAACTCAGGCAACTTAGAGAAGCGATATTTCTCTCGCGTACATGTTTAATAAAAACATCCATTGCTTCTCTTACGCGATATATTATGTGCGCTGGTGCAGTTACCATTTCACGAGACCACCCACGCTCGTTTGCCGCTGCTGGCACGCGTAGGCTAACAAGAGCATTCATCGGGAGCGTATCAAGCAAGTGGTGCTAGAACTGCACGAACTTTCTCGCCCGTCTTGACTCATCAACAGAGAGGCATTTCTCAAGGAATTTTAGATTTACATTTGTTCTGTCAAAAAGCAGTAAAAACTGTATGTGACGTAGGGGGGAAAAGATTATCTGTGTACGTTTTCTTGAGTCCCAGAATCCCTTCCTGTCATTTTAACTACAAATAGTTGAAAGGTCAGTTAAAGTTTAAGATAAAGAAGTGAAAATAAATTTTAAAATAAATTTTGAATAAGATTGGATAGTTTAGGTTCTGATCTTAGCAGAAACATTTTTAAACATTACATAGGGGTCGATGAATCGGACGATGTATCTTTGTTATGTTACTTTCGTATAAGTCCCACTTTCTTTAATTTCGAACTCATTAAAGTATATTTCCACTTCTCTTTCTCACTTCGAAAATTAATGGCATTAACTCGTTCTCAGCTTTCCTTAAAGTACTTAAAAAGTGGTGTCAGGATTGCTCGCTACATCACGTATTTTACATTTAAACACGTTTTGTAAAATTAGTTCGTATATGTAATGTCGGCATGGAAAGAACAACCAATTATCTGTCCAAATTTTCTTTAAGAAACACACATGCTCCTTTAAAACATCAAGTGTTTGAGGCAGAAGTATCACAGGAAAGAATTTGTAGAATGTCTTCGACATTCCAGCCGATTAACACATTCCAAACATAGTTAGTTTGCTTTTTACCAAAATAATTACGCAAATATCACTTAATGTAACAACAATTGAAAGTTATTTCTTTTGAGTCCGTGGTATTTAATGCAGGGAACAGTTTACCGTCCCAATGAACAGTAAAAATCAGATTAATCTTACAATCAGATTTAAATTATTTCCTAACGTTCTCTTCTCGTGTCTGATTCGAAGACTAGAAGATTTATTAATACAGAATTCATCGGTGTATTGGGTTCAAGTGCCTCTGCTGTCGCCATACTCCTTCAATGTCGCCAAAGATGAATACAGAATTTCTTACACTCAGGTGGAATCTATCAAAAGCAGCCATTAGTTTAGTGCTAATGAAATTGGTGGTGCCACGCCTTGAACAATTCTGTATTGATGTTCTCCCGGAAGTCTCTCCTAAAAATTCACCAACGTTGATTTCATTTGAACTTGAAAGTTCATTCTGAAAGTCTGATTATCTGAATCTTCACATGATGGAAGTATAGCAGAAGATATAGACACTTCACATTCTTACTTCTCTTTCCTTTCCTCTTCTTTTAATGTTCTTGCCCTTTCCGCTTTATTCGCTTCTTTATCCGCTTTACATTTTCTTTCAATGTTATCATTTGCATATCATTCGGATGCGCAATATCAAATAGTGATGGGTTGTCACAAAGATAATTAAATGGAATAATAAACTTACATTATTGTAAACAAGGACGACAGAAACAATGGGGCCATAGAAAATAAATCGAGGTAAGCTTTATTTTGGAAGGAAATGACAACATAATTGATAATGGGAAAACACATAATATATTAACAAATAGTGTAGTGATAGGATTCCGTGGGGCAGAAAATAAACTGAGAAGTTATTATAAGCGGGTAACCAAAAAACAGATATCATGTTAAATGTGTGAGAGCGAGTGAGATGAGAGACAGTTGAAGGGCGCGCGAGATGAAAAAATAGGGCAGACGATGTTCTGACACGATGTGAGTCAGAAATAAAAGGAAAAGCTATTTTTGGTTGTGGTAAGAATTAGGCTGAATTGTGAGTTTGTAAAGGCGACGTTAAGGTACTAAGTGTACAATTAGAAAGGAAATATAATTAGGTGTGCGGAGGGCACAAACATCATTGGAGTGCACCGAATTCTTTGGAAATGGCGGCTGAATGGAAAGTGAATCAAGATTGTAGTAGATCTCCCAAAGGAAAGAAGCAAAATGGGGAACATTTATTTTTACTAGTATTTGCTATTGTAGGAGCACCAAACTTTTATAACAGTAAATTTTCTAAATTAATAATCACGAGGGAATTTGGCCATACATGCAAAAAAAGGAGGAATTGGTAGCGAGTACAAGATAATGAGAATAAGAGAATTGATGAAATAAAGAATGTTTTAAGGGTCTTGGAATAAATTTGGAGGGTGAGCGCTCAAAAATTTCGAAGTCGGATAATAAGGGACACCCTACTATGTATGTTTAAGCAACTTGTAACTAAGTGATAATTTTTGTATCTGTATTTAAAATATCCACCAATATAGTGACGCACACTGGTGCCTGAAGCTCATTGACTGAAGTCGGATATGATGCGCAATTGCTCATCTATCTCCTATCGTGGTTGGGACAAGCTCTAAGCTCCCGAACAGACTCTCGATATTCGGTACATAGGTAATGCAACAGTAAATGTGTGTGTGTGTGGGAGTGTGTGTGTGTGTGTGTGTGTGTGTGTGTGAGGAAGAGAGAGAAAGAGAGAGGGGGAGAAACAATAAGACGGAAAAATGCGGTCCGGTCCGTTTGCTTCCGTTCAGGTATCTCTACAACTACATTATCAACACGGCCTTCTGCCAACAGCCGGTTTCATAGAAACCGCCATAAAACGGAATTGAACATGTGCTAATAGTTCACACACAGTTATACCAGTTCATATCTTAGGACGATGTATTATGGGATCGATGCATATGAATCATTTCTCAACTAATGACCTTGAGACAAATGATTTCTATAAACAACAATTAACCTTTGTGCTCTAAGATCATCGCCATTTTTCTTAGTTCCCTGGTTTCACGATATAACATTAAATAAGAGGAATTTTGTGCATTTAATAGCTCTTGAGTAACAGCGCACACATACAAACCAACGTACGAGTAGAAAAAAAAGACTTCCTGTTACAACATCATCACTACACGCAACTTCACAGGCGATTCCATATCTCGTCATCAATTTTAGAAGCCTCTAAAGTGAAAAGTTTCTTTCTAGTTGAATGTTGGACAAGGGTGTGTAAAATAGTACATAAATATTAACAAGAAAATAGATTCTATTTTCAGTAGTAAAGAATATCACATAGGAATCATGTAACTCTTGAAATACAATTAAAGAAAGATACGTTCTGCGTGAAAGTTCCATTAGTGATACCTACACGTTAATATGTAGTTTATTGTATCTAGCTAAGTGAATGTCAGAATTATCGGTAATTATTACATTATTATTATTACTATTATATTTATTATTATTACGATTATTATTACTATTATTATTACTATTGTATTATTATTATTATTATTAACATCAAAATTATATACACGTGATACGAAATCACATGATCCAGTTTACATGATTCTTTAGATCATGTGTCAAGGTTTTGTGGGTTCAATGAGTTAAGACAAATTACAGGAACGTGGAAGAGCAGTGGTTACATAAGTTACAGATAAAATTCATTTCTGTCAAAAATATGACTGTGGTGAATGAATTCCTGAGAAAGGAGGGGTTACGTCCGCTAGTAATAATATTTGAGAAGAATTCTATTTTTCTTGTTCGCGGCACGGGACCATCACATTATCTCCTTGGAATGGACGAAAAACACGATCGACATGTGTCACAAACGGGCGATCTTTCAATATTTGGAGCCACTTAAAAAAACAACTGAAAATGTTGTGGCTTCAATTATAGTACTTCCAAAATTCAAAATATGCTATTCAAATTTTAGGGACCGCGACATCAGCCAGATCCATCGCAAAAACGCAAATTTTGATGAAAATTCAGCTCTGGGTTTATCGCCAGCTTTGTTCACAGACAGTCAGACAGACATGCACAATTATCGGTGGATTCTGATTTCCCACAAAACATAGATTCTGACAACACGTTTTAGAGGAATTTATATATATCTTTACGAGAAAGAAAATCCATTTTTTAGTATCAGGGATCTACAATTTGAGTTTTTTCAATGAGAGCAGAATTACATAACGTTCGCTATGAAATGCATAAGTGCTATGCCAACAAGTAAAAATTACCAGAATTGCTTCATATTTATTCTTCTCTGAGGACTGCGTGATATGTGGTCGCGACATAGTTTCAACATGCTCAAACTTTTCCATTTGATACGCAACATTGTCGCTCGATAAGTTTGAGAAACTTAAGCAAGCAGTACGATATATAAAAAACCTTTCATGAAGGAAAATTATTATAATAGTATATCGGAATCAGTAGTCAAGTTAAGTATTGAAGTTAGTATTGCAACTGATTTCTTGCAAGAACTCTGTGTAAATCTACAAAAATGAGGTAATATTCGTTAAATAAAAAGGTAATATTCGTTACGTAAAGAGGTAATGCGATTCATGTAAAAATTTAAAAACATTTATAGGTAACACTTGCCTTCTTTTAACAGCCATTAACGGTCAATAAACATCGAAACATCAGAAATATAACATATTTTTAAAATCATAACCATTATTTAATAATGTAACTTTTATGATGCCATTTTAAAATTATAATTTTACCAAAACTATACTTTTAAATCAAGTTTGATTTTTTTCTTTGAGACACCTGATGATGGGTACAACCCAACGTCGACTCCTTTGCCATGGACGCGGTGTCACCCGAACAGATAATTACACACTTCTAACTCTGTTCAGCATTAATGTGCCGGTCCCTTTAATGCCAATTTTGTTGAGTTGTTCTAGCACAGTGAGAGTGGTAAAATATCTGCCAACTTCCTTGAGAAAAAGATTCCACAAGGCCCAAAATGACAGAGGCACCTAATCCCAATTGTTTGTTTTTAAGGGTGTATTTGCCTCATGATAAGTCTCAAAATATAATAATCCACTACCACCGGTAATGTTTATATTTTTATATTTTTTATATTTTTCATATTTTTCTATTTTTAAAATTTTTTGTATTTTTCATAGTTTTTATATTTTATTTTTATAATTTGTATTAATTTTTAATGATTGATTTATTTTTTGTTTATTAATAATTTATTATTTATTAATTTATTGATTAATTTATATTTATAAATTGATTTATTATTTATTAATTATTTATTTATTTATATATGTATACTACCACTGTCTTCCGAGCTTTCAAAGACATCGCTGGTTCATTTTACGGCCTTATTTTATCAAATCTGGGCAATTCAATCTGTTTATGATTTGCAGCAGGTTACGTTTCGGTTCGTTGAAATTGTTACTCCTGGTGACTGCTGTGACTTCGACAAAGAATGTACGCAGAAAAATACTACAAGACATTGCGATAGCAGATGACAAAGTTACATACTACATCTCTGCTCTGACTAAAATCCTTCGATGCATCAATGAACCTACTAATCAGGTAATGTATCACGCGCAGGTGTACTAGATTTCCTTCTACTCATTGTCAGTGTTAAGGTATGAATGGGAAAACCGGACAACACACCACGTATTTAATGTGAGGAAGACGTGTAAATGTAACATTTGCTTCCAAAACCCAAAGCATTGCCATGGTAATAGTATGACTATTCGCTTCGTTAATGCTTTTGCCGGTGTTAATGCATTTGCCGGTGTTCTACGTCCGGAGAATGTATCTCAAAACCAGTGTTGCCAGACGTATCAGAATCTTCGTATTTTTACCAGGATTTTAATGAAGATACCATGTATCAGGATGAAGTCATCCTGGTACGTTTAAATACCAAGATTTTAAGTCGACGGTATATGACAATGTACCATTTAAGATTCGTATAATGTTTTTTTTTATTCAGTACTTTAAAACTATCACCAATATTACAAATATCTATGGTATTGGTGCAAACATTACAAACATTAAGGTTTATACACGTGATCTTTTTTCTAGGACATGATATAGTACAAAAATATAGAACGTCTGTCTTCCATAGTTCATCATATCGAGAGACAAACACAAGTGCTTTGGAAATTGTCATAAATCCCCGAAGTCAGGAGGTCATTTATCTGAGAATTTCGAAAGCACGAGTGATATTTAATGGAACTATTCTACGAGTGAAATTACATCCAAGAGAGTTCCAAAATGCGCCAAATATTGAAAACAACTCAAAGTGTATGTTAAAATCAGAGGTTAGATTATAATACATTCGCTGTTTATTGGACATCGACATAGCAATCGATGTATACCGCCTCCTAAGATAGATGAGTCACGGCTGATGATAGGCCTGTAGGTAGAAGCGGTAAGATAAAACGGAAGAACAAAGTGATAAAAATTTTTGTGATACACCGCCCTGATTGGGGCATTTTGTAATTAGAGTTAAAACCTACCAGTTTTAATTTCACGAGTGAAATAGTCAATATAAACTGAATCGATATTGAGTGACGTTTAACCAGCCTCCTATGCGCATTAAAACATAACAATTATAATACGAACACTTTCAGAATTTAAATTAATTGTCAGTGGTACCAGAAATATGGGTGAAAATACCAGTATTTTGGAATGTTGGTACTGAAATTGAATGTTGGTACATTTAATGTTGGTTTGAATGTTGGTACATTTAATCTGGCAACGCTGCCCAAAACATTAGTAATTTCGTCTCGTTCAAAAATTCGTACACAGAATTTGTGGGAAATATACAAAAAAATAATTCCCTAAGTTGTGCATTCGTTTCCTAAAGAATACCCCATTGTAACAATCAAACTGTGTTCCTATAAATAGTACTACTATAATAATTATAACCATTGTTAATAAAATGGTTTTATTTATATTTTTCCTGGACATCGAAAGCTTTTGTTTTATCCGATTCACTTAAACAATAAACTATACAACGTAGTAACGTGTAAAAAAGTACTAAATGAGGACGAGAGGACAACTAACGACAATTGAGGACAGGTGGTTACTCTCAGTCAACGAGCTAGACTATATTACATTGAGTAGTAGAAACGCCTCCATCTTTGCAGGAAACTGAAACCATGTTTTTGGAGTTAAAGCAGCACCTTCAGGAGAGACAGAGTATTCTAGTATTCCGTCTGGCACTGGTTAAGGCAATGTGGGCGAGGGCCTTGCGTAATATTAATAATCTTACTCTTTGTTCTCACGATCAAAATTCAATAATTTAAAAAGGACTTCACAGTATGTAAGGAGAACGCATTTAGAAACTTTCAAAACACGTTGATTCCTGCATTGGTTATTGTCATTAGAATGGAATGTGATGAAATGTTATTGTAGTTAGCATAACGCCCGAAAATGATAGCTATTGCCATAAGATGCCCACAAGCAGATCACAAGCAAGGCAGGAAACATGAAAAACGACTAATTTTTGTGGTTTGTTGACTTCTATTTTTACAGTTATATGCCGAATATACTGAAGGCACTGTCAAAATTATTTTTCTAACCACAAATGTTTTAAATACAGATAGACGAAAAGACAACAATATAGAAATAAGATCTGATACAAACAACAAGCTACCACCAGGCACCACTCATGTTTTGACTACAATAAACATGGCGCCACCTTGTTCATCGAACGTCCACCAGGAGCGCTGAAACCATGGGGTCAGCAACTCTATGTTGTATATTCTAGCTCGTTGCTCTTAGTGCATTATCAAAATTCTTTGGCGGCAGCCTTAAATATGTTATTCCGTGAGGACGCGCTTGTGCGAGAAGGAAGGAAATGTTTGCACGTAGAGATTTGGAGAAATCGTGAAAATAACCTGTCAGGTGACATATAGTATATTTCTTGAAATATTTAGCTTTGGAAATCGGATACTACCGCCGACGTGTGTTGACAGCTTAAATGTTCCATTATCAGATTCAAAACCAATAGAGGCTTTTTAGATTGCCAACGACATAAAAAGTTGCAGCTCTCCCATCGAATGTTAAATGACTTATTTGAATTCCTTAACAAAAACAATGTGTCCGGGTAACCTTAAATTAGAATTTAACACATCACCCAACCTCTCACAAATGAAAGATACCTTTTTAGGTTATTTAATAAACTCGTAAATAAATGTGTAGTAAATATAAATGTGATAATAACTAGTATAAATAATGTTAAATATAATAATAAATAATATAAATATGTGTTAATTGCCTCATAACACCTTGAATTCAATGCCCAATAATTCATCATCCAACAAAAAAAACAGTTCATTTTATTGGTGAGTTAATCCAGAAAATAAACATGTTTAGGTGACCTTTTATCTTCTGCAAGACCTCATGGCTCCGCGCAGCTTCGCGAACGCAGTGCACTCTGCCGAGCTGCCCGTACAACTGCCGGCGCGCGACTGCCAATCGCGCGGAGCCGTGCACCTTGTGACGCTGCCTTCTTTCTTCATTACGTCATACGACCTCGTGGCGTTCGTGCGTTCCTTTCGCTTCACCGACCCGCTGGGCCTTTTCATAATACTGCACGGATTCACGTCGCGGTTCCGCACCATGCACACCACGGTACCAAGCCTCTCCACAATGTTCCGACGGGAAATGGGCACCACTCGCTTGGTGCACCTCGTTCCCGGGAAGGACCCGATGGTGATGGTGGTGCGCTCCCTGCGGGAGTCCGGCACCCAGACGTACGTTTCCTTCACTCTCGATGGCTTCTGCGCCGCTCAGGCCCACGGACGGCTCAACACGGTTGGGGAGGGGCAAACTGCGGACACTGACACACGCAGCCTCAAGGAGACCGTGTTTGGATACAAAACCACCGACCACGACGTATGGCTCGACAACCTAAAGAGACGCCCAGCTAAAACGAAGGTTCCGTATCTCGGAAGATTTGAGGCCGAGATGGAGAAGACTCTCATTCGGCTGGGATCGGTGCGCATCAACTACACAGGATCTTTATTGACTGAGTTCATGCGCGACATGCATATAGCGTTGCCAGCCGTGGAACTCGCTTCGAACTGGAGATCGCACATTTTGCGGTATGTGGACTACAGCGCTGCAGTCGCACAGGTACGGAACTAGTGGTGCTAAAAATTCTCGTACTTTCTCACCTTTAGTAATATATATGAAATACTATTTATACCACAATTTCTCTCCGAATTACCATATCTCAGACATCATTTGTTGATAAAATTCATTTAAAAACGTACATTCGGTGATAAAACTAAATATTTTCAAGAAAATATCAACACAAATTTGATAATTATAACTATTTTTC